ATATATGAAATATAACCCGAAACACCCGGCCCATTGCATACATATGTTTCCCCTTCGGTCCCTTTGTTGAATTTCAACCCTTTAAAATTGCAAAGGCCGGTCGGCCCGGCTGCGTGCACATTCAAGGGAGACTCGGCGCCATCTGAGTTTGCAATCTGTGTTAAAAGGCTTTCAAGATTTGCAAATGGAATGTCAACCACCAACCACCACAGTCCTTACAAACAGCCACTTGTACGATTTCAAGATTTATATTTCAAGATACATACACTCGTCATTCAGACCACATCAAACAATCTAGGTAGCTCACCTTTGTACGTCAAAACTTTGATCAATCATGATTATCAACACCCTCGCAACATTACTCCTGGTATGTGTGCCAGCGATATCCGCACACATGGGAATGAAGTTTCCCACACCCCTTAACTACGAACTCAACCCATACCGGGACCCCTCTAGGCCCATCGATGGGAACTACAATGACCCTCTTGAACCCGACGGCTCTGACTATCCTTGCCGCGGGTACGCAAAGCTCATGGGCACCCGGGAGGGCGCTCAAGTCGCAACTTACAATGCTGGCGGAACCGGCTACTTTATGTATTTAGTCCCCCATTCCCTGATATAGCTCACTCAGTATATATACAATAAGCCAATCTTGTTTTTTTTGTTTTTTTTGCTAGGCTCGAGCCAAACAGCCCTGCCGCGAACAAAAAGGGCGGGCCACATGGCGGCGGCAGCTGTCAGATCTCGCTCTCGTACGACCGCGGGCAAACCTTCAAGGTCATCAAGAGCTTCATCGGGTCCTGCCCGAAACGCAGCATCGACGATGTGCAGAAGTTCAATTTCACGATCCCTAGAGAGGCTCCTAGTGGTGTCATTATCCTCTCTTGGTATGTTCATCCCCTGGGCCCTTCCTTTGCTGGTATTTCATCTCTAACATCTATTGTTATTTAATTCAAGGTCTTGGTTCAACCGTGACCACGAGATGTTCCAGAACTGCGCCAGCGTAAACATCAAGAACGGCGGCAGCGGAATCTCGCATCTCCCGGACATGATGGTTGCCAATATCGGCAATGGATGCGATAGTCCAACATGGACTACCGTTGATGGGGTGGATAAATACATTGACCTCATGTATCCAAACCCTGGAAAAGTGGTGGAGTATGGGGATGGGAGGTATCCACTAGTCCTTCCATCAGGAAATAATTGCTCTGTACTACCCCTCCCTGCCGTGTGATGGGGGGTGACTGGGTGAGCTCTTATCACCAAGAGAGTTGGATCGACAAATTCTTCCGGTGCTGAAAACTGTAGACGTTTTCTCTCGGGGATTTGGCCGTTGTGGGTTGTACAATTGTTGGTTGAAACCCTAACCCACTAGATAGTAGGTTAAATATTAGGGTCTTGCCTGAATACAGCTTGCGCTCCAGCTCCAAGCGAGCCACGATCAGCACGTGCTTGAGCCAATTGAATATCAGCATAAAGGAGAGAGCCACGGGCCTGTATTTTTCCGTCACGATGGCCAAGGAACTGCAGCTGTAAAGTAGAGTACCTTGGACAGCAGCTACGTCGTGATGTGAAGATGAACTACCGGAATTAGCCTCTGAACCCGGTCTATGGCACTGCACGTGAACGTCACGGTGAATTGCAATCAACTAAAAGTGGGCCCTATTCTAGCCCGCCCCAGCCTTTATCTACTACCGAGAAACTCAAATGCGCAGATTCCGGGGTAAGATGGCGAGCGCCGTTTTTCCCCAGCTTCCCCACGCTCGCTCCCCCACAAAAATGTACCATGTACCCCGCAAAACTAGCAATCGGATAAATCACCATAGCCGTGAGCTTCGGTACCGATTGTCCCGTACCTGTTCCACGCTGTGTGAATACCGGTATTCTAACGGGGGCTCTCAATTGCATCTCCCTTCTAGATAAAAGGCCAGATCCCACGTTGTTGTTGTTCTTATTCTTGTAGACGTGCTGTCCAGAAGCTCTCTACTGCAATTGAACCTTAATCCGCAATTGCACGTTCTGTCCACGATGCTCCCCAAAAGCATCCTCCTTCAGCTGACCGGCTGGCTTCTAGCCTCCCTCCTCGCCTTCGCCAAAGACCCCACAGTGACCATCAACACCGGCACACTCATCGGCCGCCACCTCCCAGAGTTCAACCAAGATGTCTATCTCGGCATCCCGTACGCCGCGAAGCCGCAGCGGTTCACACCCGCTACGCTGCTGATGGCAAAGTCGAAGGATGCGAGGGAGGTGAAGCAGTATGGTGCATCGTGTCCCTCGTATGGGAGTGATACGACGGTGCTGCTGGAGAATGGTATGATCACGCTGGATGAGGACTGCTTGAATCTGAATGTCATTGTGCCGAAGGGGTATGAGAAGAAGGGGTTGCCGGTGTTGGTGTGGATTTATGGCGGTGGGTGGATGCAGGTAGGCTTTTCTTTCTTTATTTCTTTTTGATGCTGGCTGTCTGGTTGTGTGGGTTGGGAAGGATGCTGACGGAAATGATCGGTGTTAGGGAACTACAGCAGATCCACGGTTCGTCCTTTACTGATGATTATTGTATAGAAAAGTCAATTGACCAGGCTAATGAAATATACAGATACAATATGAGCTATATCATCGAGCAAAGCGCGGAAATGGGCAAGCCCGTTATCGGTGTCTCAATGAACTACCGCCTCGGCGGTTTCGGCTTTCTGTACGGTCAAGACGTTCTGGTAACACACTCCAAACCCTAGCCCTGACCGTTGCCTTTCAATCATTGACACAGATGTCCGAACCAGAACTCGGGAAATACAAACCTTGGAATAAGAGATCAGCGCGTAGCTCTGCAGTGGGTCCAAAAGAATATCAAGGCCTTCGGAGGTGATGCGGATAAGGTTACGATTTGGGGCGAGGTGAGTAAACAATTGATTCTGCTTCTTTTGGCTGCGGAGTACTGATTTGTCAATTAAATGCTTAGTCGGCAGGAGCTTTCAGTGTCGGGAATCATCTACTGGCATATGGTGGGCGTGATGATGGTCTATTCCGCGCAGGTTCGTACACAAAGTTCTCGCATGTAATACATCTAGTGCTAACAAGCTACAAGCAATTTTGCAATCCGGCAATGCTGTCGGCCCACCACACAACGACACCCGGTGGTACCAGCCACTCTATAACCGCATCACGACTACCACCGGCTGCTACAATGCAACTGATACGCTACAATGCCTACGCGAAGTGCCATATGAAAGCATCTACCCCGCCATGAACGTCGGATATGAGTGGTTCGCAGTAGTGGACGGCGCTTTTGTCGAGCAATGGCCTGTGCTCTCCCTTCAGCAGAAGAAGCTCATCAAGGTCCCTCTTCTCCTCGGTACTTGCACGGATGAGGGCACGTCTTTTGGTGTTAGTGGGGTCGATAACGATGAGGAGGCTGTTGCGCAGCTTATCAGTAAGTTACTTCCCTTCCAGCCTTCCCGGCGGTGTTCGTGGCAGTGTCCTAACACTGCAAATTAGCGTCAAAACGATGGGTAGTAAACACATTCCAAGCACAAAAGGTCCTCTCCTTCTACCCCGACGACCCAGCAGTAGGTTCACCGTTCGGCACCGGCAACCGTACATGGCCCTCTCTCGGTCTCCAGTACAAACGCTACTCCAGCATCGCCGGTGATATCACTATGGATGCGCCGCGCCGTCTCCTCGCCGAGACCTATTCCGCCAAGGGTGTCGACCAAAAGGTGTATTCCTACCGCTTCGACAGTCCGCTGCTCAACACAACGAGTAAAGTCGGAGTCGGGCATTTCTCCGACGTACGTTCCCCTCCCTTCTACTCCAGTATACACTGCGCCGGGATACTAATATAGCGGTGCACGCAACAGATACCATACGTCTTCTCCAACACCGACAACAAGATCATCACTACACTAGGCGACGACCCATCGCACATAAAGCTTGGGCACCTCATGGCACGCATGTGGGCGAGCTTCGTGACGGACCTGGATCCCAACGGGCATGGCGTTGACGGGGTCGCGAAGTGGCCGGATTATAGGAAGGGGCCGAGCAATTTCGTGTTTAGGAACGATACGAGCTATGTCGAGGCGGATACGTATAGGAAGGAGGGGATGGCGTATATTAATTCGTGGTTGAGGTAGTTTGTGGTAAAGGTTTTGGGTGGGTAGTTGTTAAAATAATCAGTTGAGATTCATGGAGTGTCACTCGGTGGTGCCAAGAGTTTCGTAGGAGTGCACTATCTAGTAGTGGAGTGCAAAACAGATGTCCGCTCACCGAGAAATACTTTACAATGCCCGCAACTTTTCTGCAGTACCTGCTTTACGGTGTCCTCAACCCATTAGGACAACAGTTAGGGCGGACAGTAGGGCAACAACCACAAGTGGACAGAAGTGGACACCTGTAGTAACCCCGACTAGTATTTCTTGTAATTATAAGTAAAGGTTCATCCTACCACTTTTACCGGCCTTGTGGAAAAGGGAGAATTCTGTGTTTTCTTTGCGGCTTTGAAGACCAAAGTTGATGTAGTACACTTCCAACAACCATCTAGATGTACTTATAACTACAGTACCGTCCTCTTCCATCCAACACCCACACATCTAAACCGGCGGGGTGAAGAAAATCAGTAAAGCTCTCGCTCGGTGCTAGGACGGTAAACCCACGGCCTCGAAATTTAGGCACTCTGCGTAGAAGTGATGAACAGCCGCCGACACCCCTCCGCTAGTACGTGTCCGCTACCTATGAGGGCACGATGTATTAACTTGCCTACGGCCCAGAGCTAGACAGATAAAAGGGTTTGTACAGAATTCGGGCTCAAACCCCTCAATATGTCACACCACTGAAAACCATCAATACAAAATAGTCGCCATTAAATATATACAATTCAGGCTCACGCTCATCAAAAATTGTGTCTACACAAAACATAGCCATCCCTGGCAGAGATAAAACATAAGGAAAATAAGGAAAATAACTCCGTAAAAAACATAATCACGTGCCTCATATCACATACTATTCTACAACCTCAGGCAAAAGCCAAAGTTCCTCATCATCCTCCCCGCCTCTATAAAACCACCGATCGAGAATGCAAACCCAATGATGACAATGATTGTCTCCGTCAGCAGCTCCATCAGCCTCCACCACTTCTTCCTCCCACCCTTCGTCTCCGCCACATCGAGAATCCCAAGAACCTGGCCAGACACTAACCATCCCATCATAAATGTCCTCTGCCTCATCGTGCTTCCCTCCGGCTTAAACCTCGACAATGCACCAAGAATAATGTACGGCAGGATAAGAGCGCTGATGATGATTATAGATACCGACTGGTGATAGAAACGGTTCGACTTCTTAACCTCTTTCTTCTTACGCTGATACTGGCCCGCGCCCGGAATAATAATTTTGGTGCAGTGGCTTGTCGACACCGGCTCCTTCTGCTGTATCATTGGCAGTGCGTGCTGCGGGTTCCCTACAGGCTGATCGAATCGTTGTGCCGCGAGTGCGAATTCAGCGCCTAGTGGCTCTGCTTCAACCACCTTCCATTTCCTCCCTGTTTCCTCGTCGTTGGCGTCGAGCTCGTACGCGTACATTCCTCGCTCTTTGTGGCGCTTGAATTTGATGTCGGTCCACTCCCGTCGATTGACGTCTGGGATCAGCGCCCCTACGGCGCCGACAAACTCTTCCTTGGTGCGCCCGAAGGCCTCGACCATCACTTCGCTCTCGACCATGAAGAGGGTGTCGTAGTCCGCCTCGATGATGTTTGCGATCGCGTTGAGGAAAGACATGATTGTGTAAGGAATGACTGAAAATCCGAATGCGGCATAGCCGTAGTTTGTGACCTGTGCGCCATAGGCGCCGTAGAGGGTGTATATGGAGAATAGAATCTGGAGGGCACCAAGGAAGGACTTTGCAGTTCCATAGGAGGAAGCGATAACGATTGTACTGCGATCGGTTGTAGGATTAATGGCGCCTAGAGAGGTCCCCGGGGGTAGCTTTGCGAAGCCGTACCCGTTGGGGAGGTTGTATTGGCCCTGAATCTTCCATTTCGTGGGATTCACTATTTCCTCCATATTCGGGGCCTCGATACAGAGTACTGCCTCCTCCCTATGGTGTGAGCCTGAGAACCTGTTCTTCTTTTTTGATCTTTTCGAGGGTTCCTCGAACGTGCAGCCACGAATCACGTCGCCGTTTTTCGGCCTCCATGTTTGTTGCCGCTGCACTATGCAGAGAGTCCCAGCGTGTAGTGCCTTGCCAATTTCATCTTTCCCCAGAAAACGGCTTCCCCGAGCGATAGTACTGGCGGCCTGACTGATACCAAAGAATGGGACAAATAGCGATATGATGGTGCGAAAGTAGTCGCGCGATCCCTCGTAGCCGGATGTCTTCTTGAATGTTGCGATACGCGCGATGTAATTTGTGACGAAAAAGGACAAAATTTGGGTCCACGGCGCCGGCACCACACACAGCCCAGTCCCCGTGAATACTACATTGCCGGGAACTGTGCTCGACGTTGTTCCCGTCGTCGTCGTTGTTTGGCGGGGGAATAGGCCCAGAGGGAGAGCGTTTGCGATGTACGGAAGTAAGCCGATGAACACTATTGCCGAGAGTGTTGAGCGCAAGCTGGACGCTGCAGGGAGCCTCCTGCGTAGGTGCATTCCGTATTGTTTCTGTTCTTCGATCCCTTTCCTCTAGAATTCTATCCCACCTTGGTTCTTCAAGATCAGTTAGATAGGGTCAGGGCAGGTGAGCAAATTGTAACAACACGGGGAAGGGGGTCGGTCAGTAGGAGAGGGGAGAAGGGAAGGGATCCAATATACATACCATACCTGCCTCCACAGCTCGTATGGGAAATGTCAGATATGATGAGGAGGGGAATGTTACTGCGCCGTAACTATTCTTCATTGGACCCTGTCGCGCAGGGTCATGTGTGTTTACACGTAACTAACCGTTTCGCATCTGTTGCCAGGCAACGGGGCGACGGGGCGACGGCGGGCCCTGCAGCGCCCTGACAGCCGCCATAACAAGCGGTACAGGCATGTATATACCTACATAACCTACTACATACAGCTATTCCACATTCCATTGGCTGGACGGGAAGGTGTAACCTGCACGCTCCCCGCATCATCTTTTCTGGGCAGTGGAGGAGATGGCGAAGACCGAATCGCGAGCTGCGGTGATACGTGGATGTGCCTAGTTCCATTCGAGATCTTGGCGTAGATACAAATTGCAAAACCCGCACCGTTTCACCCCCAAAGTTACAACTTGAGTTGCGGTCGTTGTTGTCAATAAAACTAGATTTATACTGTATAGATATATCATTTTCAATTGTGAGGGGTTTCATACCATCTGTGGAGGTACAGTGTATATGTAGCTGGCTGTGAGTCCTTATCAAGAGCTCTTGGTATGGGGAATAGCCGCGGCATATTGAGAATGATTTGGTGATGATCGACTGCGGATAGTGTAAGGTGCTGACTACCCTATCGGCTAGGATAAGATGAGATAATCGATGAATCAGACTAAGGACCGATAGAAAAGAAGAACGAAGGGTTTCCGCTTTTATATTCCCAAAAGAGCAATCCAGTAAGTGACAATATAACTGGCTTTTCGGCACAGGGGTCAAGCCAACTGTATACATGTAGTCACAGAAATTTGAAAAGAACATAGTGTTGACATGATGTGTCCGCACACATTTCGGAAAGCCAACTATCCAGCATATATGTACGCCAGTATTAAGAAATGAATGGTCTGGCCCTCTTTATATAAGTCCTCACCCAAGCCTTGCGGGAGACTGGATGACCTTGAGTGACCCCTTACGACCCAGAACACCGAGTAACTATCAATGCCACCCTCTCCTACCTTTTTCATCCCAAAGCCCACTTGCATGAGGAAATTTGGCCCACAAATGCCGCGTCACAATATCTCTGGCTTAAAGAATTTCGGTTTCTGACTTGGTTGATCTTGGGGAAATTGCCACAATCGAGGAAAAGAAAAAAAGCAAGCTACAGGACAAAGCCTTGGGTCCATACCGATGAATATTACAAACGGATTGGATCCATTTCCAGTGTGTCGAAATGAGGGGGGAATCTCATTGAGTATTCGATATAGTGTCAAAAGACCGTATGTATGTAAAAATAAGGTATGACTAGGCGTTTGTAGTGGATGAGGTGTCGAAGTAATTCGTATCACAAGCCGTTACTCGAAGTAAGTAGCTCTTGTCGATATGGTATCCACGGGCTAGAATCAACGGGTTCATACATGCATGATACAAAATAAGTTAATATCACATGGTCAAAGAAAAGGATTTTGGAGACTCAACTCAGTACTTCTAGCCTTTATCTTTAGTAGGGTGAATGAGCGATGGAGGAGGTCAAAGGGACCTGGAGCTAAGACTCCTACCAATTAGAGATAAAGACTGAGGCTAAATTGAACTCCAGTGAATTTTAAGTTTTTACGCTCCATAATTGAAGGGAAAACACAAGTTTCCATATACTAGCACGCAATGGACTCTTAGGACCCAGTGAGAAGTCAATGTCCCAATCGGTACCGCAATGGCACGAACACACGTTTCGGGACGTCACCGAAGCAGATGTGCCCTCTTAATCATCAGAACAGGTAGTAGTGACGGCAAAGAGCCAATTCCGAACCTTCCTTTAGAGAAAGACGATGGACCAATAATACATCCAGTAATAAAGTTGCTCCTGTGCCAAGCCTCGGTAAATGCGAGTGATAGCCTATGATCGACTGAAGAGACGAGGTCCGGCGCCGGCCGATTTGCCCTGAGCAGGCAGCGATGAGAGTGTAATCTAGAGAGTATGGAATACTGAAGGAATAACTCGCGTCCGGGTGTATATTTACGCGGGATGGTTAGCACGGACCCTAGCTGATATCTATCGCACGATCATCAGAAAGTAAGCGGTTTGAGTGTCTTGTCCCTTGTGGCGCTACTTTCTGCTTTCTAGCGGGCCGGCGAGACACCATGGTCGTATTGGGATTACTTTAGTATGACTCCCTTGAGCACTTGACGATAGGATGTCCCTTGTGTGCGTTCCTGGAAATAAGAGTGTTTTTGAAGGCGATAGGGGTGATAGGGATTCTCTCATGAGCTTGAGGCGATAGTGACTCTTGAGATGTTACTGGGGGCGATAGGAGTTTGTATAGTCCTCCGATCGATAGAAGGTCTCCTCTTTGCTACCTGATGACACTAGAGGGTCGCCCATGCATATGAGTGATAGTAGAAACTGCGCAATACGTACTAGTTTAGTCAAGCAAGAAAAACCTGAGCACGGAGCTGTGTAGGTCGTGGGCAATGAATTTTTTATTGGAAGAAAGCGAGGTATGTAGCCAATGAGAGTGAGTTGGACGGCGAAACGTGGAAAGCTCGTGTTTTCCATTGCCAGGCACGAATAACTTGATGGGCTAGTGAACTATTTCAAGACTCGGGAAAACCAATATGTGAAGCTGGTTGAAGGTGATCTGGTGTAAGTTAGCTCATATGATCAGCTTGCTGTACGTAGGGGATGAGTACGAGACTAGGGGTACATGTACGTATACGTACATGTATGCTACCAAGCTGCAAGCAAAAGAGGTGTATAGCTGCCACCGCCTTGCCGTTGTTCCCCGCCTCCACTCCCTCCTCTGGGTCCAAATTCTCACGGCCTTTGTAGTCTTTAATCACCTTCCGATTAGTATTGGAGGCTCTATCACTTTCGCATCACCTAGTTCTCCAGGTACACTCCCGAAATCCGACTTCTCTTTATCTTCCCCATCGCCCCCTCCCCCCTCCACCGGATCACTCGCTAAAACACTCAAGTTCCGACGTTTCGAAGTGATTTAATTTGGCTTCACTAGACTTGAACAGAATAGAGCGAACACTTTTTCTCTGGAATGTTATAGACTTTTTTATATTAAATCAACAGCACAATCCCTATGGGGCGGTAAATGTGTCAAAAGTAATTTTACCAACGGTAGTAATTATTTTACCACTGGTGGTGAAAATAATACCTGTATTTATAACCTATAATGCTAATTTTTATGATAAAAGCACAGACCTTGTGGCCAAAAGGGGCCATATAATGCCAATATATATGAAAATTGTCCACCGGTGGCGGTATCTCACCACCGGTGGCGGTATCTCACCACCGGTGGGAAATTTTCATAAGTTTTGGCATTATGATTGAATATTTACTTATTTAGTATAGCGCAGCATAAAGACCGAAACTCAGTGTTTATACCGGTGGGAAATATACTAATGTAGGATAGCGTGCAGATACAATGACTGAAATTCAGTGCTTATACCACCGGTGGTAAATAATTTACTACCGTTGGTAAAATTACTTTTGACACATTTACCGCTCCATAAATCCCTTCCTTCATCTATTTTATTACACATCGGCAACCATGGGGTCAGCACGCTTTCGTTAGAGTATATGGGATATTCGACCGTTACTTCATTTAAATCCTGGTTAAGTTTTCATCAAAAGAATGATTCAATTTAATGCTGGCTTGGGATATTGCTTCTTCTGTAGAGTGCCTGTCTATATTCAAATACGGTTCGTATGCTTAGGCCCTTGTTGCATCCCTGAATACGGCTCTCTCCTGAACACTTCTCGGAACTAGGTCTCGAGGTTTCCAGTCTTGTTTGAAAAATCACTGCCATCAACCATTACAACGTCATAATGTTAAATAAGCTAAATTATATCTAGGCGCCATTCTTAACGGATGCTATTGTATAGTGTTGAGGGTTGCTAATTAATACCTATTTCTTCTTTTACAGTTGCGCCTATATCCCTTCCTCCGTTTCCAGATGGTGAGGTTTGGAGGGTGATCATAACTCTTGGCGTCAAAACAGCACTTCTAGCCATTCAAAATTTCGGGTCCTGTGGTGAGTACTTTGTACCCTCAATTTGGTAACCCCTCTCTCACCAGTGTTGGCACTAACAATGAGTGGAACGCGAGACTGACTAAGGGCACAAGTACTCTTAGTACTTGATGGTTTTTCTGCCAGCTGTAAAGATCTATCTGTATCCATTTGCACCCGCTGTAAGTCAGTGAAGCACAACTATCGATTCGAATCCCGTGTCCCCCACCCCTGGTATACCCATCTTGCCGGTCGGGCTGGGTTTTGGAAGTTTTCCCCAGTCACTTGCTCAAATGAGGGCAGCAGTAATCCCTTGAACATCGCCATAACCTCACGGTTGCATGCGGGTGTGAGAGATTACCATTATTATTAGGTGCAACTATAGATTAACAGCGAGTGATATCCTATGACAAAGACGATGCGCGAGTGATGAGTGATGATTTATTGGACTATCCTTAGCTGATATTGATTATGTGTATGTGTATGTGTTAAGCGTACGCTTTCTAGCTATTCGATTCTTACATTTAAAATCACCGCCTATAACGGGACACTTTAAGAAGTGAACCTAGATCTAAAGCTCTAAAGATCCCCGGCGACGGCAAAACATTCGCTTGTACCTCACAAACAAAATGACAGAATCCTGTAATCAGGGTCACATACTTCCCACCCGGCAGTAAGTCAAAGCGGTGACTTTATTGGACGCGAATAGTCACTAATGGCATGACCTGGAGCTAGATTGCCCTTGAATTGAATCCTTCGACATTTTGTACACTTAAGGATTGGTGAATATGAACTCAACTACAAACGATTGGATGGTATATCGGCGCAGCCTTGACACCCTTGTGGCGAGCACCGGTATTAGGGCATGCGTAAGTACATGTAGTACGTATGTAAAATTATTGATGGGAAAGATTCGTGAATACTATACCTACACTTCGCGCATTAGAATTACCACCATGAAAATGTGAGTACGAGACATAGCTGATCAACCGCCAGACTTAATCTGCCTTGCACTTTTGCTTTCCCGACACCAGCCAAAAGAAATGCAAGTCTATCGGTTTCGTATTGTATCAAAATATCTGCCTCACTACTCGCCGCAGTACCCTATTGACTTGTCCGCCTCTAAGGCCTTCTTAGCATTATGCGAGGCGCGGAGTCAGAACCGAGAACCTATCGGATGGCTAAAGATAGCTACCCGTAAATTTATGACGTTTTCGAACACGGCCGCTATTGCATACCATAAAAAACGCACCAAATCCACCTTTTTGCATGGCATGCAATATTGAAACGCTATGGATCTACGAGCACATGTACTCAAGACCGGCAATGCCATCTCTTGACTGATCTGCGCACGAAACTTGCAAGTATTCGTCCAAACTTGGAAGATGTGCTGACCAACAAAGATGTGATTTACTTCGATTTAAAGGCACTCCGCACGTGAAAAGAAATTCGATTCGTCAGGTTCGATGACAAATATTTAGTGTTATTGGGGTGAATAATGCACGTAGAATTTATGCATAGATGAGTGCTTTTCAAATTATCGATCTTCAACGTTTATGATGGGCTCTGGAATACATGGCGGCTGTACTTTAATTATGTTTCACCTGGTAATTGAACATAGCTTATCATATCTTAGTATGAATATAATTTCGTGGAACTAGTAGCAATTAAGACATTTCCTGGACACCATGAACCACCGATCTAAAGGGCTGGGCGTCGGTATTCCAAATCGAGAGACTTTCCGCATATTTCGATTCTTGAACTGTAGCTGGAGCCTTAAATAGACTTCACTGGCCGCCTCACCAGCTCCAACTACTTTCAAAATTTATTTCAATGTGATTGAGCTATACGTATCTTTTATTCTACCCAAGTTGAATTAAATCTAACAGGGCTTAATATCTCTCCAAGAGTCTGCCAAAATCTGCTGCCACCCCCTTGCATAGCCAGCAAAGCCACAGCCAGCCCATCTAGTGGAGATTGATTCAGAAGAGACAAAGACTGTACTAGTTAGCATTAACCACAATGATGGCATGTAAGGGCTTAGAAGCTAAGGGGTATATGTACTTCAGGGTATGCATTGTCTTGAAACCGCACATTATTGGTCAATTTCAAGGCGTAGTCGACGACAAATAATGAAGCTGATTGGTTGTGTAAATTTCAGTGTGACCACCCAATCAGATATACACATTCTATACTGTACTGCTGAAAGTGATGAAGCAAGTGGCTGATACTCTCAAACAACTTGTTTGACCAACATACATGTACTAATGCAGGGCTTAAGATCAAAGATAGAGGTAGGGAACTGCGCACATACATGTTACGTAGAGATTGTGCGTAGAGCCTAGAAGACGTATGTACATGTAGTTAAAGTACTTATTACTCGATCGTGAACAGCTATTACATGCCTATTGCGTATCTAGGACTCATAGTACGAACAAATCATTAACAAGCTCAATTAAGCAAGGCTGTTCTAGCTAACTCTAGTGATATGATGGAAGTTTTCTCGGGTGTCGATAAAGGACAGATGGTCAATTAAAGGAGCAGGCACGTGGACCTCTATATCGAGAGGATATATGTCTTGCAGTATCAGGATCTTTATGCACTCAAGCAGTTAACTACTTAATCTATAGACTTTCCTTTATAATTATAACAAATCACATTTTACAGGTTGGTAAATCCAGGCAAATTGATGGCCGTGAGTTTAAGGGAACTCTGTATCTTCTCTTTATTTAGTTCTATCTCGTTTTCGTTTAAAAAACATCTAGAAGTGAATATACACAAAAATCAAACTTTCAAGAGGTAGCATCTTTATTGGAGGGATCTGATGTCTTTTTGACCACGGTTACAAGGTTTTGTTCCTCCATGCCATTAAGAAGCATCCCACAACAACCTCCAACCCTCTCAATCTCCATATCTAGTTTTTCAGGCTCAACCAGATTGACGCAAGTTAACCACAACGTACAGCCCAAAGAGTTCTGGAGATACACAGCCACATTTCCTCTACGCCAAGGTCTGAATGGGCCAATCAAAATCCTTGCATAGATAGCCTTTTCCGCCGTTTCCTTGTTTTTGTGAAAATTGATACAGTATGAGTTCTTAGGGCATGTTTCCTAGTTTTGAATGTTTAGTACAATATTGAATACTGAATCGATCAAATAATCAAAGGAAAGGGCATTACAAAGGGGATTGCGGTATGCCAGCCTGTTTGATTGTAGGGCTGTACGGTCAAGGCTGAACGGGTAACGGTACGGGTGAGTAATTCTGTAAGCCCTTTCACAAAGTTGAGTACAAATGTACTATGCCTAACGGAGGGCTTCTTTTCATCCTCCTATATACCTTTTAGCACAAAATTATATCTCTACTTCGGGTACTTCTCTTACATCTTGAGCCATGGTGATCATTAGAGCCTGTATTTGCAGAGTTCCGAAAAAATTTGCAAGGTGGTAAAGATTTCCATCGTTCTGCAAAAAACCAATCAATCAAAAGTCCTGATAGTTGTAGTAAAGAATACTTACAAATGCATATGATCTAACGTGACGATAATACAGAATGTCCTCTGTGCGGATAAGGAGAGGTAGCATCTGAAATCGGCGGAGAACATATGACACAATGATTCTCGCCATGAACAAATTATAGGTCTACGAAAATAAGTTAGTAACCTAAAGAGAATGAATCTCCAAGTTATTAGAGAAACTTGCGTGAAAAGGACTGATAAGTTCAAAAAAGTGATGGGCCCAGGCAGAAATCATGAAAGGATTCAAAGGCGGTTTGATTTGTATGTGTTTCTATTTGTGTTAATCGAATATTCAAGAGTAGGAGAGGAGAAAACTCACCTCGAGCAATTCAAAAAACCAACCTATAGCGGTACGTACCTCACCTGGAGTACAGTACCCGGGGGTGTGGACTAGTTGATGCTGATGAGGATTGAGAGCATTATTTGGATAGAGCTTGAAGGTTCCAGTTTGGACAGCACGTAGGCGATATGTAGACTCTCCTCTTGGTCGAACGGTTCGTTGGACATGGCATCGAATTGGCTTCAGGAATTGGCTGTGTAGCTGGATTAACATTTCTGGTCCCATACAGCTAAAAGCCTTTTCATCATTTTTTCCCTCAGCATATGCGTCCATGAGTTCAATCAATATATTATACGATTGCTTGAGGGCTCCAATCAGATGGGAAGAATCAGCAACTTGGTTCTTCTTCATGGTAACATGATTGATCCCATGCATTATAACTTCTCTTAGGGTTTCGTTTTTTTCTAAAAGCTGGTTCAATCTCCCTTCTAGATTGTGGTTGGAGATAACTATATGTCGGAATAACCTTGCGTGATCACATTTCGTTGGTGTATTTAACAAACGTACGATGAGATCGAAATCCTCGACAACAGTGTTTGGGATAACAAAATCCCGCATTCGTTCTAGAGAGTACTCACGAGGGAACGATTTAGGGGGATCATTATCACGCGCTTTCTCAACAACTTGAAGCTATGTCAGCGATAGTATTTGTAGCTCGCTAAGGATTAGGGGTAGCTACGTTTTACGATAGACTCATCCTGACGTTTCCTCAGATCTCGACTTCTACTGATTAGTTTAAAAAGCCAGGGAGAGAATTTTTGTGTCTTTCGATTCACTAGACGTATGACGTTGTAGGCTTCTACGTGGTTCTCAAGTAGGTGCAGAACTTTGAACCATAGAAGGCCAATCCTCAAATCAGAGGCAGAGTTTGGGCCGTGGTATAACTTTCAACAGGAGAAATTAGCTTTGACCTGAAGTTCTTACAATAAAGTTCAACACCTACTGTTTCCAAGGCCTCTATCTTTGTAGATACCTCTGCTCGCTGATTCTCTAAACCCGGCCCATCTGAGCGGACTTCAGTGGTGATCTTGTAAATGTCATTATAATAGCTTACTGCAGCGCAGAAGTATCTTGTGTCCATGGGATCTATTGTTATGTGACCTTCACTGATTGAGAGATCCACCACTATAGACTCAAGTCAGAAAAACGCACAGTGGGAGAAGGGAAGAACTGTTTTGGTTTACTTCTATTGGCTTGAAGAGGTGGCTCATCAAGGAATATGCCACTGACATTGTCATGGTCCAGAGTCACTCTCGAAAGCATGGTGTCCTTCGAAGCTTTCAATGGGCCTGGGATCGGGAGCTGGTGAGCCATAGCTAGTGAGTTGTCGGGGTTTTTGTTCTTATGGTTGATGTTGATGGTGATAAGGAAGGCACCTAGGTGGTGTTGGATGAAGCGGGACGTCAGTGAAAGTCCCCAAGGGGGCTCTGGAAGGCCCTCGTTTTTTTTTTTTTTTTTTCTTTTTTCTCCAAACTCCCGTCAACCAACTTTATAAGTAGATGTGAATATTCTAATTTCCAGAAGCTCGCGCCAAGATAGTCCCTGCTTTGCGGCTCAAATAAGGTTTACGCCATTCAAATTGGGCTAGCTGATTTTGTCCCGGAGAAGCAAGTTGAGAGGCATGTTGATACCGGGCTTCATTGAGAGAAAGGAGAAACGTAGTAGCGGTAGTCGCGCTGGTGCTCGTACTGGTACTGTTGGTGGTGGTGGTACTTGTAGTGGTAGCGTCTGGCCAGCAAGATATCTTTACAATCCATTCCAGGGGCTCGGTCCCCCGCGGGGCTTGTTTTTATTTATACTTTTTCAACTACGGGGTCGATATAGATAATATAAAGCATGAGATTGAGAGCAATGATGATTGCAGGAACAGTAACAAACACAAGAAAGAAGGAAACGACATGGTGACGAATTGTAGAGGAACTTGGACTGGGCCTCACCAATACTACGAGGATCCAGACCGAACCCCGTGTGCAGAGTGGAGACCTAAAAACTACGAGATGGTCCAAGGAAAATAGGCCGAAGCAAATACATATATTTATGTAGGCTTTTTCTGAATGTAGCACTGTTCTGGTATTGCATTGTGCTTATTATCCTTGAGATTAGAGTGATTAGCCATGATGCTATCTAAAAACCTGGGGTGCGAGAAAACTCCCTTCGGCCTTCCATCTCCGAGCACGGCTGTTAACAAACTATGGTGGGGGAAGTCTTGTCACGGAGTAGTTTGGACACCTCAGCTTTCTCCACTTATAGCTCATCAACCACTACCCATATTTTGACTTTTGTTAGATAGATCTACTCATTTCACCTGCTCCTGGAGTGGCTGAGTGGGTAGGCTTCCAGGTTGGCTTTCACCCAACGGCGCCAACAACTATGCCGGGCAGCCGAGCGACTGTAGACGTTGGACCCAATTGATGCCAAGGGTTGGACAAATGGAACGGCAAGTGTTATGTTGGGTTGCATGGAGTATCATGCATGATTCTTGGCCATTTGATGTATGATTCTTGGCAGTTTCAACTTGAGCCTCATCAATTCTTGGCAATTCTCGGCATCTTTGCTAATAATGCTTAAAAAATTGACTTATTCTCAAGGGGGCGAGTAGCGAGTATTCCGCAGGGTACGAAGGGGGTAGTAGAGATCGATTTGGAAACTTGCAGTAAGTGTTCTGAGGGACTCTAGCGTCGGTAAAGGTCAATGGGATAAGAGGGCAGCAAACGGTGGTCTTCTTAAATAAAGAAGAGGGAAATATTATTGTATAGTAATAGACAGCGTAGGTACAGAAGATGTTGCGTAAAGAAAGAAAGGAAAGAAAAAGGAACAAGAAACGAAGACAAACTCTCCTAATATACCCAAGGGAATCCCAGCGATGACAAATCCAAAGTGACTCATATATTAACGACCGACAGAACCTGATAGAACCTAATAGTACCTTTCTGACTAATCCAACTCCTCGTAACTCAGTGTATTAACTAATCAATCCATGAAACTTATAGTCAACAAATTTAGGTGAGTATTGATTTACGGCTAATCATTAGATATGCCATGCTTATGTATGAAAATTAATACCACTAGGTTCGTTTTTTATTGACTTATTTTTCAAGTACTCAGAATGTATTCATATAGTACTATCAAAATATATAAATATCTTCGGAGTATAGAGAATATTTAGAAATTGATTTTAATATATTTTAGAGTATTTATTGTGTTTTTGAACAAATAATATTCGTGCTAACTATCAAATCTTCTAATTGAGTATTCCTTCTAGTATGATAATATTTATATATATCACCATATCACCTCAACAACCATTTATGGGTTCATACTATTTTCTAGATATGCTCTTATAATCATTACCTATATGGATAATTACCGTAAGATAAAGAATATCACTGCTAGGTGTTGATACAGGGTTGCGTAAATTTGATAGTCTTGATACCCTAATACTCATATATGGGGCGATACCCTCCCCTTTAACTCTTTACGCATTCCTCAAAGCTCCTAAATAAACTCTAATAATCATTATTTATATGCGTAAATACAATAGAATAAATGTTATCACTGCTAGATATTGATACTGAGTTGTTCAAGTTGAGTAGTCCTAATACCCTAATACTCATATATGGGGGCAATACCCTTTTCAACAAATTGTTTCTAAAGTAATCCAATTTCCTGTATAGACTCTAATAGTTGTTGTCTATTTGAATAGATATCGTAAAATAAATAATATCACTCCTATATGCTACAGTTGATACTGAGCTGCGCAAATTTTATGCTCCTATATGCTAATACTCATTCCTGTGGGTGGTTCTACCACTATTATTTATTTGAAGAGTCATCGAATCATGTAACGGCGTAGTGCGAGTAAGGAAGAAGTTCGGGAAGGAGAGTGATTAGTAATAGAGATTTCGTTTGTTCTGACTCTTTTGGGATTTCGGTAGTATTTAGGTTTTCTTTCTATGGGTTTCTATTACTCGAATTAGTTATCGGGTTCTGAGGGATATATATATGGCTGTGATTTTCCTTCGTTCTTTCTTTCTTTTCTCCTTATCCGAACTTCCTATTATATAGGAATACATTCTATTTTCTGTCTTCTAACTTCTACAAATACAATTCGTATAACCTCTCAGTTGTGTCCCTTAGTCTCCGTCCTAGTCTCGTTTTCGCTTCCGATAATATGAAGTGTTTCATCCCGTCCTCGTTCGTTTCCTTCGATATTCTATCGTTAGGAAACTTTGTCTAGTATTTATCGGTATTAAGCCTGATAACCCCAAACCCTGACCCTGACCCCGCATGAGGTGAAGAGTTATCACCCCCATGACCCTGACTCAGCTTCTACCGTTCTCCTACCGAGAATCTCTGAATATCGTACTAGTTTTCCCGAGTTGGCCCGTAACAAGAATGACATGCCGACATATAGGAATCAGTATGTCGGGCATAAGTCAGGTTTCAAAACATCCGATCCACTAAAGTCAGGAGGGGTCAGGGCATTTATTCTATCCCAGTGCTCGCTGTAGCAGTCGGGAGTGCCCCAGGAGCAGCCAGGATATACAAGCGAGCAACTGGCATTCTCTGACCACCAGACTGATGCCTGGGTTGTGCCAAGCACTAGGATTAGGTGTCGGGATGCATTGGATGGACTAGTGTATGCTAGGGTGGACAACCGTACGCCAGAACTCGTCAGGAGTGCTTGGCGTATCTCTGGAGACGTAGTTTACCTACCAAGCGCCCTGAGCGCCTTGAGCACCTCAGGTATCTGGCGAAGGCTGCAGGTTTGCTGATGGATGCGGGATGCTCCCAAAGCTTTGCCGGAAGCTCTGAAAGTATTTTAGAGCGCCGGGTGGAGATTTTCACATGTTTGCAGGTTCTGATACCAATCCTTCAAAGACATGAGGTGTACGAGGTTCACAATATTAGGTGTACGAGAAATGCAGCTTTTAGGAAATGCAAAATAAGAAAGGATTGGGTATGGGTATCGGTAGTGTCCTCAGAGGAGTAGAGAGTGTTTCGGGGATGCGTACTAGGATATATGGAGGCTTTGTTCAAGCTGCGGGATAGTGAGAGCCTAGCACATAGACTATGTATAGTAGAACTACTCCAGGCAAAGGATCGTGGTATTGCTGATATCTCACATAGGCTCCGGAAGGTTTATAGGAGGAGGAGGAAGAGGATTTGTCTAACGGAGTGGGGTTCTAGGACAAAGACATAGGCAGGTGCCGAGGTGAGAATCGACTCAAGATATATTCTAGGACAAGGACAGAGGATTGGGCTGAGTACCGATTGAAACAGAATAGAATTTTACTAACAAACAGAATGAAGACGTTGCTTGAAGAAGAAAGAAAGAGAAGTACAGAGGGTGAGAACCAAGCCTCGAATATAAACCCCAAAGAATAACTCGATGACTAACCCTCGTAACCGTACCTAAGGAAATAACAGATGAACATTATAACATACCACAACTGATTCCGATCCTTCTTCCCACACCCTAACCTGAAGTGCCTAGCATTTACTGTATCCTCCAAGCACCTTTCTAACTTATTTAACCTAACTGAAGCCATTCTGATCCTTCACCGAACAACTCGATTCCACAGCGTTTTCGACGGCAGGGTAGGTGAGGGCTGTCAGGCCGTGATAATTTGGGTAATTAATATTCGGAGTATATTAGGAATAGCTCATTTATTTGAGGTGGAGACTAGTGATTGGTTGCTGAATACTAGGATAGACTTGTTGTTATGGGCCGACTCAGGAAAACTATGATGAGGTTCAGAGATTGTCGGTAGGAGAACAGTAAAAGCTGAGTCAGGGTCACGTGGGTGATAACTCTTCACCTTATGCGGGGTCAGGGTCAGGGTTTGGGGTTATCGGGTTTAATACCGATAGATACTAGACCAAGTTTACTAACGATAGAATATCGAAGGAAACGAACGAGGACGGGATCAAACACTTCACATTACGTGAAGTGAGAGCGAGACTAGGACGGAGACTAAGGGACACAACTGAGAGGTTATACGACTTGGATTCGTAGAGGTTAGAAGTCAGAAAATAGAATGTATTCCTAGATAATAGGAAGTTCGGATAAAGAGAAAAGAAAGAAAGGACAAAGGGAAATCATAGTCATATGTAATGGAGCCATTTCAACTGTCTGGTGTATGAGTACACACAGGGCCCGGTTACATGCTGAGAGTTATTGTTAGAAGCCAGTTGCACGGTGATATGCAAGTACCGGCAGTGTGGTTAGCTACCAGCTGTTAGAGTAACTACATTCCGGGCGCTAGGAAGAGGATCTATTCATGGGAGCAATGACTGACGAGTCTATGTCT